AGGGTACCACTAAAGTTTACCACGACATTAATACATGATATTTATCAATAATTAAATAATATAAAGTCGTTTTCTTTCTTTCTTGAAAATTAAATGACATAAAGTTATATCATGTGATACTAATGCTTTAATCAATAACAAATTAGTAATGATTTTATTGTGCTTAATTTTGGATTTCTCTTTTTTGGCATATTGCTTTATCTTATACTATTATTTTTTATTTCACGGACGAATAAGATAAGATTATAATTTAAGTGAAGTTTCCTAACTATGAAAGTTTATGTCTTTATTGTAATGTTTCTTACAAATTAATTGTATTGTATTTTAAATTGATAATTTTGATATTTTTTAAATAAAATTAAAACTGGAATGTTGTGGCAAACAGTTTCGATTTTTTATTTTGTCAAAGCGGAGAGTCAAACTCGTGTGAGAAACGCGGAGAGACAGAGAGAGAAGGATAGGGTTGGTGGTGGGTGCACATGCACGCACACCGGTTGGCAAAGCGTAAAGATACACGTGGCCGACGAGAGAACATTTTTCTCGTGAAGGTGACATGAGAATTGCCGCCTTTTTCTACTTTTCTCTTTTGTTTTTTAATTTTCTTTAACATGAATGGTCCCCACGTTTTTGTACAGTAATCGAGAATTATGTAAAATATATTTAATCGGAAAACAAAAAAACAAAAAGATAAAAACACGAAGAAGAAATTTTGGGAGGCGGGGGGAAAAGAGTCACGGGCGACTCGACTCCCGACGCCATCGAAAAAAAGGGGTGGAGTACCGAACACGTGATTGGCGTGTCGGCTCTGGTGCTTACTGACGAAACACCCTTCTATTTGTGGAAAATTACGGCATCATACCAACAAAAATCCTTTTTTGAGTTGGGCTATTAAGGGACTGCCCTCATGTTAAAAGCGTGAGAGCCCTCTCTCCATTAATGTTTTAATCGTCGCATCACAGCTCAGCCGGTTGAAGTAACCGGTTTTCGGTTCAGCCCTTCGGTCCAATATGGTGACAAGAATTAAATTTCCATATATTTTCAGAATAATCAGAACAAATTGAAAACGATATGATATTGAAAGAAAAACATATTTAAAAGACAAATCAAACATAAAAACTCCGTATAATAGTACAATACCCGAAATTAAACCTTGGGATTGGGTTTTTAGTTAATTACTGTGAGTGCGCTTATGAGATCCATGGATTGGTCCAGAAAGGTCTAAAATTGTGGTCAATTAAATATCTATTATAAAAATTTTTAACTCAATCAATTTTTTTATTCAAACGACTCGTGTTTTTTTAGCTATTTTCAATGTTTCGACTACTCTCGAATTGAATTGACCATCAATTTTCAATTGAATCGATCCGGCCAGTCGATTTGATTCAATTTTTAAAACATTGCTCTCCATTTACTTTCAATCTTTTTCTTTTCATTTACAAGTTGTGAATTTTATTCTTTTTTTATTTTTTTCAAAAGCAATGCACCTCAATTATATACCAAGGGTGTGTTTGATAAACTATCAAAATATTTTAAACTATTGAAAATGAAAATTTTAAATTGTTAATTTTTTTTTCAATGACTTTGGCAAGGAAAATTTTGTTATTTAATTACATTAAGCTTTTAATTTTTTTCTTCCATGGATGGACAAGCTAGGGTGGGTTTATCCTATCCTCCATGGATAGGTAACAATCTTTAAAAGGACAACAAAACCTTATAAATTTTCCTCTCAACTATTTTTTGTTTTAACTATTGTTAACGTTGAATATTAAAAAGATAGAGAAAAAATCTATTTAGTTCTTAATTTTCAATAGAATGTCAAACGATTTTTTCAATGACAATTCAATATTTAATTTTTTTCAAAATTAAAAAATCTTTACTTAAATATTCAATATTTAATTTTTGCAGTTTATCAAGTAGCACCTGAATTTATTCAAATTCTTATACATCTAATTATTTGAACTTAGGTTTTATTTTACGAGAAAAGTGTGTAATTTGAACACAAAACATTTTTCAACTCTTAATCATGTAGTCAGAAATTTGAATTTAACTGCATTTAACTATAATTAGTAGTTGTCACCGTTTTTCTGTTTCTTTTTTAAATTATTTTCTTAACGGGTTTTTTCTTGCCTTAGTAAATAAATTGCTGATTGTCCAAATAAAAATATCTATCTACCAATACAGGTGAATATTACAAAATTGTAGCTCAAAGTCTTTGAAGTAAAGTTGGGAGTCTGATTAAAGAAACATACTAGTAATATGTCTGTTAAATAGTCATGACATTAGATAAGTTTAAGTTCTATATTAATTAGAACTTCTTTTGTTCTATCATTTTTTTCCATCTTTCTTGTTGTTAGACGTTTTAAAATTATATTCATTGTTTAATAATAGTATTATTCTGTATGTTTCAGATACATTTTTATTATTTTTGACATTAATAGACATAAAAACGTCAATTTTATAGGAAAAAAATTTTAAAATTTTAATGTAACAATTAAATGCAAGCAAAAATAATGAGACAGAGAATATCTTAATTGCTTGAAATTCAACGAACGTAGTGTAAGAAGTTCCCGTACGTTGGCAAGAAACAACAAGAAAGAGAGTGAGACTGACAAGTGAGGAGTACACTGTAAATCACAGGGCAGAAGAACAGCAGCTAGTAGTACAAATAAAAGCAAGGTGGATGCTCAGTGTGAAAATCCAGGGATGCTGTACTCTTCAAAGCACTCAAATCTAGGAGATTTGTGCATGTCCAGAGTCTGATTCGTAAATCCCAGTAAAAAAGAGTCACAACCCTTCAATTTAATGGCTGCTTTTGCAAGTGTCAGATCGGTCAAATTTAAGTGAGAGTGACATTCATTCAAAGATATAAACAGTAGGCTCGAACTGAAAGGCTCCCATCCCATGTGATATTCCTCCCCCACAGAAATCCCGATTAAGGTTGATGGGCCACCTTGGAACAAACCTTTTATTTAAAAAGAAAATTAAGCAGAGGTGCAATTAGGCAAACACCCAAAGATTTTTAATGATGTTTCTCTGCAGTGCATGGGGTATATATTTAACTTAATTACAAGCTCCTGGTTTTGCGTTTGTTTCCTCTTAAAGATTGTTGTTTACATGTGAGTTTTAGTGGTTGTTATAATATCCCCTCATTACCCACTAGTTTTGTCATCAAATTATGCTAATCATGGCCAAATCTTTTCTCATAATCTTAAAAGATCTGCAGCTTAATTCTCCCTAATCAAAGTCATCAACCAATTGTTGATCTTTTACCTACCTAATAGGCTCATAACCCCCCCAATTTGATTACCAAATCAATGCTGCATGCAAGCAAGGGGCCTCGTCACTGGTCAGATGAGATCAATGTCATAGTCACATTTCACCGCTATCAAATAGCATCTCTAAAAAAAAAAAAAAATTACCAACCCCATGCACTGTTCAATTGGTAAAAAAAATAAAAGACAAGTTTCACTAGATAAAACTTACGGGTCCCCCCCCACAAAAAAGAGGCTCCCTTCCCTACATATGCAGTTAGCTAGATGTGGCATGCAAGAAATTGAAGGCAGTCGCCGTAGGAGAAACTGAAATAGGTATAAACTTTTTATAACAAGAACAACATAGTTATTTGACCCAACAACCAGTCATTGCTCTAAAAACTTAAAAGGACTATTGTCTGTCCCAATCTAGTGGTCCATCAACATAAAACTTAAAGTGGTCAACTATTGGTATAGGAAATGTAAAACATGTAACATGCTTTTGATTTCATGATGAGCCACCTTAAACCCTTTTGTTTTGTTTTTTTTTTCCCCAAATTCTAATTGGGTTTATCTTTAATTATGGATGGAAACTTAATGCTCTTCGCACGTGACTACAAAAGAGTGTGGGGGTCATAAAGTTGAAATGGAGACGTGTGGCGGTTGTTACACCTTCCTGTAGATGTAATAGTACGCAGTAGGTTTCGGATTACATCAAACTTATTATCGCATGTTCCATTTTTGTTTTGTTTGAGATTTGGACATTCATTGGAGAGGCACTGTTCCATATCCTAAATGTTAGTCTACATATGAACATGTTGAATTGGTTATTACCAACATTAATAAGTACGGATACGGTGGTTTGAATTTACGATGAAATTTTCTTGGTATATTGACGGATTAATTAAGTAAACATTATCGACAAGATATCTAACTAAAAAATTTTATTTTTTAAAAATATATTGATCTCAGAAAAATGGCTACTTGTATGTGTTTTTACATACAATAATAGTATGAAAATATTAAGAGAGCATTGTTGAATTTATATAATCTATATTAATATATAATATTAATATCTACATTCATTATCCAATTTGGTAATCAATTCTCTAAGTATTCTTATTAATTTTTGATTTTAATAAAATAAAAACTCAAACCCTAAACCCTAAGCCGTACATGAACTAATTAGTGAGTGATGTCTATATGTAACGCATTTCTCTTTTCATGTAATTAGTTAGAGAATTGGTTGACACTTCATAGTTTTAAACTTGTAATTCTTCATTTTTTCCCATTATTTTGGTAGAATATAGCTATAAATCTATTTTAGGAATTAAAAAATAGAAGAAGAAATGTTATCAATTACAGTATATGAAAGTTTACATCCAACCGTTACAAGTGTCTCAACTTGTAAAAATTATATTATAATATAGTCATATTTAATCATATATGTAAATTCACTAAAATATGAAAAAAATTAAATATGTATATATATATTAATTAGTGGTAATTAAATTATATGTTAACAAACGTATTTATTTAATATGATTTTTTCACATCAGCTGACTTTAATTATGTGACATATCCTTATTAATTAATCTACTATATGATACTATCCTCATGATTAAAATCAATTAACTTCAAAA